GTGAAAGCCTTTTCCGGGCATATGCTGAATATTCGAGACATGTCGGAAAGGGACAAGCTATTCACCTTCATGGAAGGGTTGGCACCGTGGGCACGCACGGAACTTCAGAGACAGAAGGTCACTGATTTAAGCGTAGCTATTGGAGCTGCTGAATGTTTGAGTGACTATCAACCAGAATTGAGAGATGATCAATATTCGGGAAATAGTCAGTCTATCGGAGGTGGAAATAGACCTCATAGACCTAGCTCGAGCTCAAATGGGGGAGAGCGTTACTCTCGGAATAGGGGAGAACCCTATCAAGGCAACCGTCAGAGTAACTTCAAAGGAAGTCACAACGGGAGCAACAGTAACAACTGGAACAAAGGAAAAGCAACGGAGGGCAGATCTGATGTCGCTCCTAAATTGAAATGCTTTTTATGTGAAGGACCACATCGGGTGGCACAGTGTCCTCAGAAACGGATGGTGAATGCATATTACCAACAAGCAAGTGGCAGGACCAAATCGAAGCAAGGTACCCCACAAGCTAGTTGCCATAGTGAGACCAGTTCCGACGGGGATGAGGATGTAGTTGGTGCAATCTCACATCGGTGCAATACACTATTGCACCGAGCTACGAAAAGGGACGAAGGTCCCTCGAGAGAGCCGGAGATGGAAGAATCAAAGGCTTGCATTCGTAAGGCGAAAGGCCTAATGTACATTGATGTGAAGATCAATGGAAAGCCAATCAGGGCTATGGTAGATACTGGTGCAACCCACAACTACCTCGCAAGTGCCGAAGTGGATCGACTCGGACTTATTTTGGAGAAGAGCCACGGAAAGGTCAAAGCAATCAACTCCGTTGCTCAACCAATAGCTGGAGTAGCCAAATCTGTCTTACTCAAAGTTGGTCAGTTCGAGGGAAGGACTAACTTGTCTGTGGTTCAGATGGAAGACTTCAAGCTTATTTTGGGATTGGAATTTCTTCGGGATACTAAAACAGCGGTGTTGCCGTACCTCAATTCACTAATGATGATGGGTAGCAAACCGTGTGTCATCCCCACTCAAACTGGGAAGAGAGGCGAGAAGAGTATCTCGGCCATGCAATTTTGCAAGGGTTTCGAAAGGAATGAACCCTCACTTTTGTGCACTCTTAGATCAGAGGAGATCGAAGAGGCGACTGGTCCTATTCCAAAGCATGTCAGAAAGAGTGTTGAGGAATTCGAGGACATCATACCGGGTGAGTTGCCAAGGAGGGCGATTGATCGCGGGATTGAACTTGATTCAGGTACCAAGCCTCCCAGCGAGGCACCATACCGTACGACTCAGTCGAAGCTTGAAGAGCTTCATGCAGGTCATCAGAAAAAGGCAGGCTTACTGGAGCCCCTTTCCATCCCAAGTAGACCAGTCGAGAGTAGATCGATGGACTACATTGGTGGATTGCCGAAATTAGGAGATTTTGGCGCTAACACGGTCAAGAGGGACCGTTCATCTAAAAATGCAAACTTTACTACAGCACCCAAGTATGTATCAGCCGAAGAGACAGCTCAACTCTTCTTCAAACATATTGTCAAATACTGGGGACTGCTTAACAACATTGTCAGTGATCGGGATTCTCGAGTTACTGGCATACTTTGGACCAAGTTGTTCAAACTTCTTGGCCCAACTTTGAGCATGAATTCTAGTTTTCACCCACAGTCAGACGGACAGATAGAGCGCTTCAAATATATGCTGGAAGACTATTTTCGGCACTTCATCTCTGCTCCGCATGAAGTTTGGGTAAAACTTTCGGATGTGGCCCGGATGTGTTTCAATGCTCAAGAGACCTCTTCGCCCAACAAGGGTCCTTTTGAGATTACTACTGGCCAGCAACCGTCCCTCCCTCACATTGCAGTCATCAAACAGAAACAGTACAAGAAGTCTGAAGATCTGAAGCGACTTGTGTTTAAATTGAAAAGATCAGAAATGAAGGTTGCTGAAGAGATTCTTGGCCATCGAGCTTCTAGGAATTATCTTCAAGAATACTTGGTCAAATGGAGCGGATTCAACAACGAGAAGAACAACCAACGGCTCAGAGGACTTCGCCAAAGCAAATGGGGGAGAGTGTCACGGGCAGCAGCCTTACTTAAGCCCCGTGACGCTATTGCAGTGGCTGCACCTTGTAAATATTTCATTTAATTGTAAAATAGTTGATAATTAGAAAATTTTAGTATGATTCCTCGGCCAAAAGACGTCTACTCCCGTCATTTGGGTTTTTGTTGCTAAGTCTATTATAGGGGGTATATGACTTTCAAACATCTTTCAAGCTTTTCTAGTGTTCGCCCCCTGCACTAGCCATTGTAATTTCCTGCTTTCAATCAATTGTAATTTTCAAGCTTTCTAGCAATCAATGATCAAGTTTAATTCAATGCATTTCAATTTCGTGTTGTAAGCTTTCTTTAAATTGTGATCAAATCTACTTTTGTCCCGAGACGGACCGAGAAAAGGCGGAAGGTAGTCTAGCGGAGCAGACTACTGCCGCACGGTGTCCCTTTCTGTGCTAAGAAGAAAGGTAACCCGTGAAACCACGGCTTGTATGCATGCTATGACGAAATGATGACTCCAATCACTTCACCATCAGCTTCATCAAAGAAGGCTATCAGAAATAGTAGTCCAAATCCTTCACAACCTGCTTTCGGTCTTTCTAAACAGATTCCCTTTATTTTTAAAGCTAAACTTATGCAAAATATGCAATCTGAGAAGAATAATTTGGTTGATTATTAGTCTGATCGTTGTGAAGATTTGACCGATCCCAAGTTCGACGTATTAGTTTGGTGGAAATTAAATGCGTACAAGTACAAAATTGTTTCTAAAATTGCCAAAGATATATTAGCAATTCAAATATCTACGGCCTCCTCTGAGTCGGCATTTTCCACTAGTGGAGTGCTTGTTGCTAGGTGCTAACTTGATACTATCTTTTTGTCTTTTTGTTTATATATCGAATTTTACACAAATATGAATGTAATTTAATATTAAACATTATTAGTTCTTGTTTAAATGTATATGTTAACTTGTTTTAAACATATAACTATAATGTCGATAGGTAAACCGTGGATTAAAATCGAACCAAACCGTAAATAATGGTTTGGTTTGGTTTGAAAAATAAAATGGTTTTGTTTGGTTTGGAATTTGTTTGGAATTTTTCCAAACCGCATTAAATGGTTTGAGTTGAAAATATAATACAAACTGTCCAAACCGAACCGTGTTCACTACTAGTCTCTCTCTCCTTGTCCTCACCACTTTAAACTAGTCAATAAGAAAATCTAATGAAAAAGTATCAACAATCTCCTTCTCTATATACACAAGTATGATACTGAACAAAAAAATCATCTTCCATTCTATTACGCAACATTATCTTAATGACACACATAGCTGAAAATGCACGTTCTGTAGTTACTTTTGGGCAATTGATTCATAAATGGGTCATTTGCTTTTGGATTAGATTTGAGCTATTTATTTATTTATTTATTTAAGTAACTATTGGATCTTTTGTTTAAATCTAAAATTTTTGTATGATTGAATTTTAAAGTATAAGTTATTGGGTCAATATTTATTAATGGAAAAAAAAATATCAAAATTTTGAGGGGACGAAACTGAAAAATACATTACAAATTAATTAGGAATAGTGGACCAGCGGACCCCCATCTCCTTCACTGGATGGTGGTGAGATGGAGTGAGGGTAATAATGGTGAGATGGTGCTGGCCAATGATAGCTTGGACTTGATGGAGGTGGTACCATGGGCTTGATAACGGTCCAGATCTAGTGGTGATAGCAATAGTGTAGATCAAGTGATGACTAAAGGTGGTGGTAATGGTGAAGATAGCGGTGGCTAAATAGGGTGGTGGTTCGTATTGATAGTGATGGTAATGGTAGAAACAGGTAATGACAGTGGCAGATAAAAAATGTAGATTGCCTCTGCTTTTAGCTTACCATATTTCATATTTGGCATCATATTTTGGAAGATTATTTTATAGTCTAGGATGGTTATCACATTTTGTTGAAGACTCGTTTTTCATATACACATCATTGAAAAAATTAGTCAAAATCGAAAACTTTAATCCGGGAGAAACCCATGGGTGGATTTGAAAGCTTTAAAGGGCATTTTCGGAATTCGATTCCCCTTTTGCCTTCAATTTTCAGGTGGGATGGGAGTGCCAGTGGCGATAGAAATGGAATGTTGGAGGTGGGGTAACGGTTGAAAAAGGTCTATGGTGGTAAATGAAAATTGGTTGAGGTGGTGGTTAGAATCTGGGTTGGAAAGATGACTATTTCACTTTCTTTTTTCACTTTTGATTGTATTGGCATATTTTTAAAAACTATGATACACGTACGTTTCTTTCACAACTTCTCCACAGATACAAAGTTATCATTTTTTTTCATTGGCAATTACCAAAACAGCAAAAAAAGTTGCCAATCAGTTAGTTGCCTGTAAAGATTCTGTGAAAAAAAAAAGAGCATGTATGCACGACTTTTTCCTATTTTTAAATTTTGTTTAGAAAGGATTTTTCGCACAAACTTCGACTTTTTAACTACTATTAACGGTTTCCATCCACTAGTGATCTCAAGTCAAACAGTGTCAAATGTGTTGAGGATTGGGAATCTATATACATTTTCCTACGAAGGCTGATGATCACAACCCTATTTTTTTTTAGAAAAAGTAAGTTCAATCTATAGCCCTTGTTTAACTACACATTCTCTACTAATTTACTATTCCAAAATATATTCTACGATAAAAATGAGCTCAAACAGACCCATAATGAAGTATGGACAAAATTTACAGTTGTGATCATCAATCTATTCGATATAGAGCAAGTAGTGCTGTAACCTGCGATTTGTAACAATAGAGTCCTCAACTTTGTAATTCTATAGCAATTAGTTCTTCAACATGTATTTCCCTCCAATTTACCATCAAAAATGTCAAATTTCTGTTAGTTTACTTCACAGTTCACTCCTATCAGAAACTTATCCTACGCACCCACGCTGCTTATCCTTCACTCCTTGAATGGTTGAACCGCTTCAACGCCGTTTTCTCAAATTGCAGAAACGGATTACAGAAAATTCCTTCATCTCCATCAGAATTACCAACCCAATCGTTATCGTTTTGCAGATCAACGGCTTCATTCTGCTCAAATTTCGGTAGTTTTTCCTCTTTAGGCCACTTCTCAAATCGCTCGAACTCGTTCAAATTTCCGCTCTTAATTTTCTTCTCTTCATCGAATTTTCTTTTGCTTCCAATTTTCACACGAACTGCGGAGAGAAGAACGGGATCTAAATAATCCTCGAGCTTCTTGCTTGATATTTCTCTCATCAATTTAATTTCTCGAATTTTCTGCGAACTGGCATTCCAGTCTGATGAACTCTGGCTAATCCTATCACACCTGATGAAAAACAGAAAAATAAAATCAAATTATACAACTGCAAAACTAAAAGTTGTATATGATTGCATATAAATAATTTTAATAAATATTAATATTGCCGTTGAGAATTTGGAGGTCGAATGAGGCGTTTTTGAATTTCTTCTACAGTAGCTAGAGGACTCGAAGAGGAAGCTTCCGCTCTGTTTTTCGCCATTTTTTCTCTCTTCTGGGGATACTGTTTCACTCAAAAAATTCAATATCATGGAGAATTTTATTACTATTTATTTTGGAATAAAACTCGTAATCTTCTATGAAACTAGAATTGCCGAAATTTTTTGATCAAAAAATGTGAAAACTTTGAGAACTTGGCTATATGGAATAAATCAATTTGAGAACTTCGATATTTATAGTTGAATACATATTTGATATTTAATTTCTACAAGTTGAGGTGTACAATCGATCGTCGAAAATGGGCGCGATCATGACCAAATTCAGGGGTGACTATTGACCACAAGCTCATTTTTATTGGTGAGTCGGATGTGTCTAAAATATCCTCATTATCGACATAATCATTTTTATTTTTTTTTGTGAACGAGAATCTAACGACTCAATTTTTCTAATAGTGATTTGCATGTGGCATAGGTCTCTACAGCTGAGTCCGATAGTAGAGGTGAGTTGGCATGTGGCACTTCCCGTGATAGGCCTTGCATTGCCTTTCATGTGTTGGTCACCTCCTGATTGGATAGTCTCGTAATTTTTGACTCTTTTAATTGAGAATCTTAATAATATAATGTAGTTGAATTTAAAAAACTGAGTTTCTCAGATATCCTCTAGTGCATTCAAAAGCCAAAATATATAAATTTCTTTGGGCCTTAAAAATCATAATCAGATTATTCCCCAGGATGATAAATAATAATCAATTGATCATGTTATGCTGTATGCAATCAGTAGCTAATTCTGGTCCACTCTCCTCAAAATTGCAGTCATAATTCACTATATTGTACAAAAGTTTATGAGATATTCTCGTGCATGCGTAGCCATATCTGTCCCCTGTAAGAGGATTGGAAGACGGGCTATTAGCTCTTTATGTACAAATTTATACGATTGGAAATGCAGGGAAAACAATTTTACAAGCAGAATCTAAAAATGAAGGATTTGAAGGAGAACATCATAGGGCTCTCTTACAGTATATTAAATTAGAAATGTAATGCGAGCGTTTGAATTCCTTGTACTCTTTTATCTATTTCATTTTCACTAACTACTTGGCTTATGGGTTTGCTAATATTATTTCTTACAGGCTGAAATACAGGGCAAAAATGCTCAATACGCTATGCTGAGCAGTGTTTAGCGCTTTATCCTACTCTGTAAGCTCTACATTTTGTACAAATTTTGTACACAAAAGTACTGGATTCTTGCTGGGATTTGTTCCCATCTTACAGCAAATTGTCTATGACAAGAAGAGATTGGTTTGTCTACTGACTTTGAGAGGCAGCCCAAAATTTTGATAAACCCTGATCTGTCCTCCCGCATTTGCTGTTATGATAACCAGCCCCCATGCTGTCGCTTGGACGGTTTGGCCTCCATGACTACTGCCACCATCGAACAAGGACCAAGACGAGGACCAGGATTGAGATCCAGCAGTCCCGGAAGCAGAAATGGAAGGTGAGTCACCATACCTAATCGATGAAGAGGACGAACCAAATGACTCACTAATACCATTTTCAGAGTTTATGCGAGCATATTGGGCAAAATCCTTTTCCGTGTAGCTTGGACTTTTCTCGAGTACATTGTTTTTCTTAGGAAGTGGAGGCAAATGCTTCTTGCTGCTTTCACCGGCCATGTCTTCTCGGGTTGGAGAACCGCTTGTAGAACGTGGTTGTGTTGTACTGGAGTGTTTGGACTGCCTTTTGGAATTTATGTCTACAATTGGTGGTTCAATTTTTATGCTGCCAGGCCAGGCAATTGCAGCCAAAACATCTTGACAGGGGAAGTGCTCGTATGTCTGGATGGTAGTTCTACTTCTGCTTTTCCCACCTCCTTCATTTCTTGAATCTTCCAGCTTCCAGATATAGACCTGAGAATCTTCGCTTGCGCTTATGACATATCTTCCATTTGCAGTGAATTGAGCTAAAATTTGGCTGCTAGTATTCCGAAATCCTGTTGCCAATAATGGACACTTCATTTGGATTCATTACGTCATGATTTTTGGACGAGCATATCAAGGATATGTACCTCTAAGTTTTTGGACGAGCTCTGTTCCACTATAGACTCGAATTTGAGAATCAGCTGAAGTAATGAGCACTTCTGACTGATTCTGAGGGGAGAACTGTGAACAAAGAAACATAGTTACTTGCTAGCAAGTTTCTGAAGGGAGAGAGCCTGAAGTGAAATTAAGTACCTGAAAACCTGTGATTTTTTTCGCTTGAGACTTTTTCTTGAATTGAATATCAATTTGATCTTTCTGTTCCAATTTGCAATCTAAGTTGCAAAATAAACTGAAGATTAACATGGGCAGTCATGGACAAAATATGATGGGAGACTGTGGACTTAAAGAGCTGTTCATACCATCTATAGTATACAAACGACAGATCCCTTTATGTGAGCCTATAATCACACCCTTCAAAACAGTGAAAGAATTATTATCAGCATGATACTTCTCAGATTTAGGAGCCAATCAAGGTCATAAAACATTACTTGTAATCCTCCAAACAAACATAAGTTAGTGATGTGATTCATATACAAGATCTGATTTCTAATGGGGTGTGAATTTAAACAGGTGGTTTTACTAAAGAATTCAAGAGAGACATGAACTGAAGGAACAAAGAAAATCCATTCATATACAAATCTTGGCAGAATGGTATGTACGTTTGGATGTATATACCTGGCCATCAGGAGTGTAGCAAGCAGCCGTAACCATCTCATGTATATCTGTCCAGTCGACAACCTGACGATCAGGTATGCTCCAAATTCGAACCTTTCCATCAAGTGAACCACTGATGAAATAATCTTCATCTACTGGATTGAACTGTACGCAAGTTACTGTCAAACCATACTCATCAGAAGTAGGACCAATATAAATAACACATCAACAATCATAAGCAATTTTTAGGCCCTGGTGATTGAATAAATTGCAGCATAAGTTCGGCATCTCACCATAATCATTGTGTGCAAACGTCTTTAAACAGCTTTTTGTCTCCAGGTTCCACAGCCTAACCGTCTTGTCCATCGAAGATGATAGCAGTTGCTGCATAGAACTTTCTTCCTCTATGTTAAATGTTTCTAGTTAAGAACTAAATGACCATCTTAATAATTAGAAAACAGAGAGTCCTATTTCAATTTTTGCTACCATTTCTTGACTCTTGCAGATGACTAGTTCTTCTTTGGAAGAATAACAAAAGAGCTATATGATGGAATAAATAAATTATTGCGATCCTGCTATATAATGGAAATTAGGAAAAGGGGAAGCTGACCTGAGATTTTGACCATGAGAGATCTAACACGTCATCTTGGTGACCTTTGAAAGTGCAGAACGGCTTTTCTGAAAGAGCAAATACAGTTTCTGGCATACTTACATAGTCAGGAATCGAGTTTCCCTTTTTCTTATTATTCCTCCCTCTTCTCTTCATTGTGGACAACATAGGTGTAATCTCTGCAAGTGGAGGCCGATCTGAAGCAGCGCCTGCCATTGAGTGAACAGGTGTCTCTCCCGGTGAATTTATATTGTCAGGCGATCTTGTTGACATAATATCACATTCCTGCACTTCCCATACATGAATTACACCATCTTCTCCCGTGCTTGCTAGGAAACAAGCGTCCCAGCTGAACTTAATTGTCCATATTGAGCCATCATGAGCTTGAATTTCTTGAGACATGTGCAAAGCTGAAAATTCTTTGTAGGATTTCCCATATTGGTGTGCTTTGATCCATTGAGACGAAGTTTTGTTAGCTCCCTGTTCTACCAGTGAAGATTGTGAAGACTGTTCTCCTTCCTTATCTACTACTTTTCCATTGATAGTATTTGCGACTCCCATGATGTTCTTCAAGAAAGAGGCTCCCATTCTTTTGCTATTCCTGAAACTCTTAATTAGATATGAATTAAAATTTACCTTCTTGGCATTCTCAAGACTCCTCGAGGCATTAGCACGAGCCATCACTTCCTTCACAAACTGTGAGTATCCCACAGATTTCTCGAATTCCTCCAATGTAAGTTGTTTCCCGGTTTGAACATCATTGAGCTTATTCCACATTCCCTTTTCATTGGATTCTTTCACAATAAACTCCTTTCCAGTGTCCAAATTCTTTATCAGGAAGAATGAATCAAAAGCACCAGGTGACAGTACAGATTCTAACACCTCACTAGGCAGGGCTGATTTGGTTGTAGCCCTCTTCGGGTTTGATATTTGAACTGAACATGCATAGTGACAAATACCTGTGGTATGTGCTATTTGTCCCGATGATGTTCTAGTTAAACGCTGTTTTGATACGGGACCTATTAGTTCTTCTTTCCTCTTTTTCGTTTTCACAGAAAAGCTCTCTATATCACCATCTGATCTCGACCTAAAGAACACAATTGGCGCTTCTGGTGAATTCTCAGCCTCGCGCTTGTCTTTTTTTGGTTCTTCCAGGGGAGAAGAATCTTCCTTTGATTTAGGAGCTTGGGGAGGAGGAACATCAGGCTTGATTGAAATTCCTCGAACAAATTTGGCTGTAGTGACCCTTAGAAAATCCTTATTGCTGTTCAATCCAATACCTGACAAGGTAAAATTCTACGTCATTTAAATATTAGTATAATAACATATCATGTAAGGTTTGAATTAATAGTTGACATTTTAAAATGGAACTCGAGTAATACCTTGAAACAGCTTCTTGCGGCGCTCCTTAATGTCCCCTGGTTCTGCCATCCACATGTCGTATCCTCCTAATACAGATGAAGAGCTCGTAGGTACTACCTCCTCAATCTCAAGGCTGCCAATTCTTTTAATGGAGGCTGCAGAGATAGCGGAAGCAAAGGACATTCGGCTATCCTCAAATTCTTCGTCCTCGTCCGATCCTGACAAGGCTGCCAAATCGAGAGGAACAGCCGATGACATTCTTTCACGGGATTCAAAGAAGCATTCATCGTCGTCTTCGCCCAATCCATCCCAGTTCATGGTAAGCGTTCTACGCTCCATTGTTGTAGAATTGCTTAAACTACTCATTGAAATGAATCATAAAAATGGAGATAAATTTATTAACATTTACGTACGTTGTGAATTTGTTTCCATAACTGGAAATTTTTTAAGTTTTTTGTTCGTAAATCTTTAAGCATTCATGGAATTCACTTATTATTGTTTCCTTTCTTGGAAAGGGAGTGGAAAGAGAGAAGTGGAAGAGAGGAAAACAAGGATATAAATATAAACCATCAACTTTGGACAAAAGAAATGGACAATCCAAAATTAAAAGTGAAAATCTTAACCACTACATTCCCTTTTCTATCTAATGAACTAATATAATCATATTTTTGACATGTTTGATAGAGTAAAAAATAGTACTAAAGAATAAGATGAATAACCAATGTGAACAAGTTGAGTTAATTTGAATCCTTGAAATTTTTGTTTGTTCGAGGTCCAGCGCGGAAAAGAAGTATACAAAAGTTTGATTAACCAAATGAATGGATTGAGGGAGGTAAAAAAAAAATAAAAAAAAATTGACAATTGATCAGAATGAATCAGTCATGTCTGACCGTTGAAAAAAACTTGAAATAAATTCCACACTAGTGATACACAGACACATGAGAACATTTTTAGTGGAACAGTCTTATATGTACACGTGATAGGATTGTTCACTCAAATCACGACACCTTAGACTTTAAACCTTACAACACTTCAAACTCTAAGTGGATAAAAGAGAAATAGAATGGATGGACGGACGGACCCACTTGACGTTCAAGGTATCGCCACTTGAGTGATTCAAGGTTCAAAGTGTCGTGATTTTGAGTGTACGGTCTTACTTTGAGTAAACAATCCTATCACGTGTGCAAATATGATTACCCCACTAAATATTTCTCAAACACTTGCAGAAACAAGCCAATTTTGTTATGTTACCATATCAATTGGGTTTAGTATAGAGAACATCCTCTACTAACATGGGAGAATACTTTTCAGGTGAACACTCGTTCTCTCAATCCTTGAAGTATTTTTTTGAGTTACGCACATTGGTATCAAGAGATTTTTGTGAACGTGAACGCTCATATTCTCTTAATTGTTGAAGTATTATTCTAGTTGCACTTTGGTGTCAAGAAAATTTTCTGTAGAAAGCAACTCACAAAATACACCCACTTGTTAAAAAAAGAACATGAAAGTAAAATATAGCTTCTTCATCCAGCGCACTGTGTCTTATCAGAACTATAGACAGCAGAATATATAAAACAAAGAAATGGATTAAATTCAATATGATTAACCTTAACATTAATATAATACTATTCTATTATCAGCTACCAAAGTTCTCCATAGGATTCCTAGTTTGAAAGAATAGGCTAATGATTCCCACTAATATACATACCAAGTTTGACAATTAACCCAGAAAATGAACACTTTTCAACTCTTCTCCACGTAAATGTTTTTTTTTCCCCTCAATCTCAATCAAAGAGTAATCATATTTCACACGAAGCACTTGGCAAAACCACACTTGTAATAATCCATAATGTTGATTGTTAACTTGGTATCCTATGCTAATTGTTTTTTTCAGAGGAAGAACAAAGAAAAAATATCTGTTTTCATTTTGCAACTCTTAACTTTTCAAAATGTCATAAATTGTTAGACCAACCCACCACCGAAAAGAGTCAACAAGATATAACTACCAAATAACTGAAAGTGAAATAATTTTTCGAACAAACATCAGGATAATATATCTGTTTGTTAGTGTGTGTGAATGTAATTTATGTATCGTATTGTATATTCAAGAACACCATTAGCAATACAAGAACATGTTCATTATTTACAGTAAATCCCTTAACCATATAAGGTACAGTACTAAACAATTCAACAGATAAGATTTTAGAATTTTTTTTTTTAACGGTGTGCAGGTCTTTATGGTCTTAAGTTAAGAAACAATCCATCAATCTTCATCGTCTCGTCGAGTTTTCTTCATTTTCTGGACTACGTCGTTGTCTTCGTCGTGGGAAATTGCAAGAAACATTGATTCAACTTCTGTCGAATAATCAAACTGGAGGGCTCTTGGGGATGCTTTTCTTTTTGTTGAAGTTGAGGGCTGAGGCCTGGTTTTCTTGGGTGCTGGTGGGCATTGTTCGATCACTGGGATTTTGTGATCCAAAGATGTCGGAGTTTTGAATCCATCGTCAGATTCTGCTACTTGGAATTGCTTTAAACATGGATTTTCTGATTCTTCTCTTGATGAAGAAATTGAGGCCTCAATATCTTCTTCTTTTCCATGTTCTGTATCATTTACTTGGCAAGAATCTTGAATTTCCTGCTTAGGTTGCGATGAATTCTCGAGCTTGATCTCTTTATCTTCTTCTTTGATGAGAAAAAATTCTTTTTTTGACATTGAATAGTAGTAATACTGATTGATTTCCAAGAACATGAAGAAAATTTTTAAACTTATATAGAGAGAGAAAGAAAGAGGGAGACTTGAGGAAGCCAGGAAGAGAAGATTTTTGTTAGAGAAAGCCGTCAAGATTATTGGGGTTTTTATTCACACTTTCAAAAGGAAGAAAAAATATATATAGCCCCGTTTGATCCCCATTATCTAAGAATTAATTTTTTTTCAAACTTATTTTCAATCATATATTTTCACAATAAACTATTTTACACGTAAATTCAAAAAAAAAATTCTTTTTTTTTTTTTAATCACACACCCAAAAATTCACTATTACAAAACTAACCCTCAATCAAAAAAGGAAAAAAAAAGGCTCAAACACAGGCATAATGGGTTAATTAGTCTATGAATTAAAATTCCTTCTTAAAATGTCATTCTTGAAAAGAAATGTAATGGTTGTTTGTTTGTAAACGTCATTCTTAAATTTTGAATACTTGTTTGAGTTTTATACAGATAGAATTGATCGTTTGGGCCCGTTTGGCATGATTTTTGAGAAGTCAAAATGAGCTTTGAAATCCAAAAACTGCTTTTAGATTCGATTAATTAATTTTATAAAAGCATTTTTTTTAATTAGAAAAGTTTTTAGAGTAAGCTAACTCAATGTGACTTTCTCTAAAAAGATAAAGATCTTTTAAAAATTAATCTCTTAACAACAATTAAGATAGTTTTCTCAAAAAGTTTTTCTACAAAAAACAAAAGTTTTGCCAAATCGATTTGAAGACTTTGCAAATAAATAATTTTGGATTTTAAAATATCAATTTCAATTATTAAATTTTAGCCGATTATCTTATTATTTGCTAAGACGAAAAAAAAGGGGATAAATTATCAAAAATTGAATTATTAAATATGGACTTTACAAAATTTAAAGACTTTGTGACATATATTTATGGTGTCTTGACTATATAAATAATAGAGATGAGAGGGAGAACATTGGATCCTCGCCCAACATGTCTTTCTACATCTCTTTCTGTCTCACACAAAGACATGCACAGAATCCGCATATCCATATGGGCATGTTCCTTTAGGACATATAATCCAAGTAATGCAATACTAATTTTTTTTCCTAAAAACTCTCAGGGCCTTAGGCATGATTGATGTTAACAACCTATGATGTAACGCAACACCTCTAATATTCATAACATCTCCCCAGGGTTAAACACATAGTTGACCCTAAGATTTATCGTCATGCACTCAACTTTTCCGTATTCAACGTTACTAATTATGCTTTTATTTTTATTTCATTTAACATATTCCGTTATCTTTGTCAACCAATAGAAACAATGGTGTAATATGAATAACTCTGACACTGTATTATTAATATCATCCAACTAGACAAAATCGACGATGTTGAACAACTCTCGATTTTTTTTTTCTTTTAACAGAATAGAACACATTTATAAAGCGTGACTTGTCTAACAAAGAGCATACCATAGCTATTTTTTTAATTGGAAACCAAAATTTCTTTCGAATCATTAGAGCATGTCGCCCAATGTGCTTCGATGTCATCAAAAAGGCTCGACATCTTGCTCCAAAGGCCTCGCCTTGAATTGCTCAACTTTATCACATGCTTTAATTTCATCAAAGAGGCTCGACATCTTACTCCAAAGGCCTCGCCTTGAACTGCTCAACTTTATTACAGTCTTTAGTTTCGTCAAAGAGGCTCGACATCTTGCTCCAAAGGCATCGCCTTGAACTGCTTAGCCTTATCACAGGCTTCAGTCTTATCAAAGAGGCTCGACATCTTGCTCCAAAGGCCTCGCCTTGAACTGCTCAGCCTTATCACAGGCCTCTGTTTCATCAAAGAGGCTCAACATTTTGCTCCGATGGCCTTATCTTGTATTGTCCATCTTTATCATGAATTTCATATCCATCAGAGAGGCCCCTCACTGTCGCTTCAACTCGAAAGTCCATGCATTATATGAATAATCATATCTGGACTTCAGGGACTATTGATATGCCTTGCAAAACTAAGACTCGTACGTGGCCCCAATTAGTCTACATGGCAGGCGGTTAGGGGGGCCCCACTTTTCGTGCACTGACAAGGACGGCGCAGCTCTACACGGACGACTCTCTTTAAAAGTTCAAGTGACCCCGTGTAGAAGTGATTGGCTGACCCCATTACATGCGAACCCTAATGCAAGAACCAGTCCAAGGTAAGGCAGTGACATGAATCTTGAACAAATCATATGCCACATGATTGACAAGACAACTCAGTGCCACCGTCGCCGCCGCAAACCTATTTGGTCAATTCCAAGCCTTAAGCTAGGCCATGTAAGTACCAAAGAAGTACTAGCATTTAAGACTGTGATTGATTGATACCTATGATTAGAAAGGTCAATCATGTGGATGAGGCCATATGCATTATCATCCAATGGCTTCAATTCACCTTGCCCAAGTATAAATGTTCACACTTAGTGTCATTCAAAGGTAATTCAAGTTTAGACTCTTATAACCATATTCTTGCTTTACCCACATTTAACTCATTCACCCCAAAACTGACCCCCTTTTACTGTTTTACATTGGAGGCTCACGTTTAAAGCTCTCCAACACTCATAATTATTTCTCCAACTAACTTAACCGTTGAAGTGCGTGCGACCAACTCCACCCCTTTCGGAGAAGACCACGTGTGCCTAACGATTTGTCCAAGTGTGCAGGAATCCAGCTTGCGTGGACGTGAAAAGCCTTGAAATATGTTGACCATCTCATGGTACATTTTTGGAGTCAACACACCTCATTGGTACATTTTTTGGGGTCAACACATATAATCCAAGTAATGCAATACTATTTTTTTTTTTTTTTTGGTCTAAAAACTCTTAGTGCCTTAGGCATGATTGATGTTAACAACCTATGATGTTACGTAACACCTCTAATATTCATAACATCTCCCTAGGGTTAAACACATAGTTGACCCTAAGATTTATCGTCATGCACTCAACTTTTCCGTATTCAACGTTACTAATTAAGCTATTATTTTTATTTCATTTAACATACTCTGTTATCTTTGTCAATCAATAGAAACAACGGTGTAATATGAATAATTCTAACGGTGTATCGTTAATATCATCCAACTAGACAAAATCGACGATGTTGAACAACTCTTGATTTTTGTTTTCTTTTAATAGAATAGAACACATTTATAAAGCATGATTTGTCTAACAATGCGTACTTTTGACTAATTAATTTGAAGACAAAAATAATACACCAAAAGTTTTTATCACGTCGGATTATCAAAAAAGCTTCGTAACACAACTCCATACAGTAGACTAAAATTGAACAAGATTAAAGGAGATTGTTCTATAATCCCTCCAAGTCGAGTAGTAAGAAAGAAGACAACAAAGGAGTGGCTTTTACTTCGGAGACAACAAAGTGCACTTCATGAAGACAATGAGAATAGGATGGACAAAGCTTCATCTTACAATTTCGTATAATGCAGTTGTCAACAGAGTTTCATTGAATCAAAACTTCAAAAATTATCTATTAGGATTTTTATAAAGTTAAATTTATCTGTTTTCCTATCATATTGTACTCTATATGTTAATGTACATATCCCAATTGTCTGGATATGTATTTTGGATTTTTTTCAAGAAAATTTAATATATAAACAAAATGGTCGGGCTTTGCTGGCAAATACTCCTACAAATTTTAAGTTAAATCCGAACACACCATGTGGAACCTTTTGCTGCTGCTGCCTTCCCAACAGCAGCATCTGGCAATGTTACGGATTTATTTAATTAAAATTAGTACGAAAAATAAAAAGAATTAATATTTAAATGAAATAAATAAATTTTTTACATGGTCTGTGAATTGTTTAATTCCGTTTGAAAGATGTTCTTGGATCTTGAACATACTATCTTTGTAGGCAGGAATCGACACCTACTAATTCGATCATAGGCATGTTGGGTAGAGAGATCTCCTTTTTAAATTTTCTTAAACCATTAATATTAAGTCCATGGCTCCTATATTTTAAAATTGATTTTTTTTTTCAAATTCATTTTTAATCACACATTTCATGACATTAATAGTTTTTATCGGCGATCATTCACATTTCTTTATTAGGACTTTTAAAATTTTAATAGATGGAAGTGCTTTTTTTTTTTTAATTAGTTGTCAACTAACGAAGTAGTGTGCTATGTCAGTGTTTCTATTTGTCGCATCAGCGAGTTTGTCAAATTTTCTAGTAGTGATAATTCGAAAAAAAATAATTAAAGTTTAATGGCCAATTCAATGATGATATGGTAAGTTCAATGATAATTCGAAGTTTTTTTAAAAAAAAATTAATGGTCAATGAAAAACATTGTGCAAAGTTCAATAATCATTTGAATTTTTAACCCTATATACGTATATACTTTAAATTATGGACAATTTACACACATATGACATACCTTTACTTTTTAACCTCTCATTTCAACAATTAGGTACATGGTTTTTCTTTGAAAAATCAGGTATACCCTACCCCCACTTTCCACCCCACTCCAACCCTAAAATAATTTCTACCCAAAATTTTCCCACGGTCCCAAATCATCAGCCGCAACCTTTATTCCCATTTCCCACGGTCCAAACCAATGAACTTTGGCCGCTACCGCCTCATTTTCCTCGTCATCAACCAGCGGAAAGTGGATCCATGGTAGGTCAAAGAACCTCTGTGAACAATTATTTAGATAATTATGACCAATAAAAAGGATAATTTGTGACCAATAGGTAACACGTGACTTAAAAATGTGTGATTAATTGTGACTCACAAATTTTATTTTTATGACTGTTGTTTTGTGTGATTTGTGATTGTGGCCATAAATTGTGTGTGATTTGTGACCGCAATCTGATTGATTAAATTATTGTCACAAACTTTTATTAGAGATCACAAAATATAACCAAACATTTATCAAGGGTCACAAATTATTATTACCTGATTTTCGAAAAGAAAAAATCACACGTTCGCTAATTTTGAAAGAGTAATGATATTCAATGTGAAGACTACCGGTAATCATCATATGTGTCATACATGCATCAATTTTTTATTTGATACATAAAGCAATAAAAATTTACTACATTAATGTATCATATAACAATTTTACATATGTATGTTACGTATAACGACTGTCGATAGTATGAATAGCATTATTCATTTTGAAAATATAAATTGAAACCTTTGTAATTATCCCTTAGAATGTTTACTTGAGGGATTTCAAATCTATTGATGGACTATCAATTGCCCCAAGCCCAATCCACCTTTTGTAGGACCACAAAGTTTTTAAGGTAGTGGAAATTACATCACACCCTATTTTTAAAGATTATTATTCTAAAATTGGGGAGAAAATTTCATTATTCACAAATCAGATATTTCATATTTAAATATTAAATATACAATTTTCATCACAAACCCTAATTAATTTCTCATCTCATTTCTCTCTCTATATCTCTCCATACCCATCTCTCTTTTGTTCCCAATTCCTAAAACTATTTCCACCATTTTCTCCCTCTATTCATCTTCTCTCATCTCACTCTCTACCAACCACTTACGACGATGTCACCCCTTTCGGCGACGCTACTCTCCTCTCTTGTACCATCGCTACGGCGCCGCACAAAGCAACGTGGTAGGCAAGACATCATAGCCTCTGGGCGCGGAGGCACGACAGTTGCAGCAATCTGAATATTCTAGCCTCGGGCGTGGCGTTGAGGTATGACTTCATGCGTGCAGAGGCACAGCAACTGCGGCTATCTGCACCAGTCCAGCCTCATAAGGTACTGCCTCTGTGCACGGCGTTGAGGCATAGCATCAAAGCCTCCGCCTCTTGGCGATCTGTACCAAATCCCGGGTTATGGTATTTAGCCGATCTGTGGTGTTTCTCCGGTGATTTGTGGTGGCTGAGATGCAGTGCGATGATGGTGTGTCCGTGTTCTGCGTCGTGATTTGGCAATGGTTTTTGTTTGTGCTGTGGTGTTAGATCGATGGTAGATCTGAAAGGGATTTATTGGATCTGGTGGTGGGGATTGCTTTTGTTGGTGGTGGTGGTGGTGAATCTGGCATGGAAGTGTTGATGGCAGTTTTAGTTTTGTAGTTGAAAATTGTGGTTTGTTGGCAATTGTGGTGGTGGTGAAATTGAAAATGGTAGTTTGTTAGAAGTGCTGGTACTACAATGGAGGGTTTGTGACTAATTAATTATTTGAGATTGTGATCAATAATTTGGATATCTTGTTACTAAAAAATAACGTGTGACCAATAAAAGTTTTGATTTTGTGATCAATGAATATTATGTGATCTATAAAATTTCTAATTTGTGATCGAAAAATAAATTGTGGCCAATAATTTGAAAGGTTGTGACCGAAAATTAATTTATGATTAATTAATTAGATATTTTGTGATCATTAAATAAGTTGTAACTTGTAAAATTTGTGATTTGTGACCAATGAATAATTTGCGTCTATTAATTTAATAAATTTGTGATCGATGAATAAATTGTAACTTATAAAATTTTTGATTTGTGTTCGTGAAATAATTTATGACCTATAAAACTTTTTATTGTAATTGAGAAAAAATTCGTGACTAAATTGTATAGAATTGTGACCTTAATATATTTAATTAATAAAATATATGTTTAATTAATTAATTTAAAATATAATTTAAAAAAAAATTGAGATTTAAAATTTTAAACCTTGATGCCTTAAATTTGACAAGAAGAGATCACAAAATATAACCAAACATTTGTCAAGGGTCACAAATTATGATTACCTGATTTTCGAAAAAAAAAAAAAATCACACGTTTGCTAATTTTGAAAGAGTAATGATATTCAATGTGAAGACTATCGGTAACTACCATATGTGTCATACATGTATCAATTTTTTATTTGATGCATAAAACAAAAAAAATTTACTACATTAATGCATCATATAACAATTTTACATATGTATGTTACGTATGACGACTGTCGATAGTACTCATTATAAATAGCATTATTCATTTTGAAAATATAACTTGAAACCTTTGTAATTATCCCTTAGAATATTTACTTGAGGGATTTCAAATCTATTGATGGACTATCAATTGCCCCAAGCCCAATCCACCTTTTGTAGGACCACAAATTTTTCAAGGCAGTGGAAATTACATCACACCTTATTTTTAAAGATTATTATTCTAAAATTAAGGAGGAAATTTCATTATTTACAAATCAGATATTTCATATTTAAATATTAAATATACTGTTTTCATCACAAACCCTAATTAATTTCTCTTCGCATTTCTCTCTCTATATCTCTTCATACCCATCTCTCTTTTGTTCCCAATTCCTAAAACTATTTCCACCATTTTCTCCCTCTATTCATCTTCTCTCGTCTCACTCTCTACCAACCACTTACGATGATGCCGCCGCTTTCGGTAACGCTGCTCTCCTCTCTCGTACCATCGCTACGGCTCCGCACGAAGCAACGTGGTAGGCAAGACATCATAGCCTCTGCGCTGAAGGCACGACAGCTGCAGCAATCTGAATAGTCTAGCCTCGGGCGAGGCGTTGAGGTATGACTTCATGCGTGCAGAGGCACAGCAACTACAGCTATCTGCACCAATCCAGCCTCATAAGGTGCAGCCTCTACGCACGTTGTTGAGGCATAGCATCAAAGCCTCCACCTCTTGGCGATCTATACCAAATCCCAGGTTGTGGTATTTTGCCGATTTGTGGTGTTTCTCCGATGATGTCTGGTGGCTGAGGTGCAGTGCAATGATGGTGTGTCCGTGTTCTGCGTTGTGATTTGGCAATGGTTTTTGTTTGTGCTGTGGTGTTAGATCGATGGTAGATCTGAAAGGGATTTGTTGGATCTGGTGGCGGGGGTTGCTTTTGTTGGTGGTGGTGGTGGTGGTTAGGGGTGGGCGTGGGTTGGGTTGAGTCGGTTTTTGTCCTAACCCAAACCCAACCCAATATAATCGGTTTGATCGAAATTCAACCCAACCCAACCAAATGTTGGTCGGGTTGGGTCGGTTTGGTCGGGTTGGAACAACTTTTCAACAAATATTAAAGTTCCAAAATTCTGATTTTTTTTTAACCAAAATACTGAATATAAAGCAACATTAATAGTCTTTCAATATCAATAAATTTCATATTTGATAACACATAACATATTTGACAACATTTACATAATGTAAATATCATTAAAGAAGCTCTTGAATATACCTGGAAACGTGCAAAATAGAGAAGTAACTCAGATACACATGCTGAATTTTTCATTCTGATAATTATAATTTTATAATCACAAAATGAAGACAAAGAACTCTTAATTTTGTAAATGCTCCCAATAGTGTACGTTTTTCTGTGTATATAGCAACTCTGAATCTCTAATTAACTATTAGAAATACATTTCCAGCTTATTTCCACTGGAGTCATT